GAATACATATTTACTCTACGCTTACAACTCTGAGTGGGGGCTTTCTTTTTCCCAGCAGGACCTGTTTGTATATCACTAAAACAGGTTTACAATGGCAAGCAAGCAGCAGCACATTTCGACGTCTTTGTTTGTTGCCCATTCATTTGCAAACTAAGCATGTCCCACAATTGTCTGCACTTAAAACACTCCCACGTTCCAGGAATACCTTGTGTTTCCTGCCGTTGTTTGGTGGTTTCTGTGGGAATAAAGGAATGATACATGGACATTCCTTAAAGTATGGATTTCCAAAAAAAAAGTGTTCTCGAATACATACGACCAGACATTTTTCACCATGAGGTCTCTGGAGAAAATACAAACTTGGGTAACTTTATAATTTTAAATACTGTATATGATTCACCCCACCCCTGACTCACGTTAGGATTCCTGTTTCCGACATATAAGAGTCCTGCCACAAAGAATCATGTCTTTCTGAGTTTTATTTGCATTTTAAAAAAATGTTCATTACATTGTTGGAGTCGTGGCTAGTACCCTGAAAGGTTTAACCATTGTGCTGTTGTGGATTTCATTCCAGACTTCAGAGCGAAAAGGGGGGGCTTCATCCTCGTCAACTCAGTTTGAAAATCACTGCTGTGCCCGAATAAACCCATTAGTGAGAGAGACTCTACGGGAATGAGCTTCATTCTATTGCGTGGGGGAAGGGAAATCGGGGTAAGGATCTCGATTGTTGTCTCTACCCTTCAGTGGTAATTGCTGTACCTACAATCTCCTGTAGTGGAATAATTGGGGGACAATTTATTCCAGGTCAGCCGACTTATATGTGCCTTCCTGACGTATAGTCAGGATGAATCTTAAGCTTATTCGAAGATTCTCTTTTTTATTTTGCTTCTATTTCTACATATCCTCATCGCCTGACAAAATAAGGGGTATTCTGTACACGTACGACTATCAGTAGCAGTTGTTTCTATTACAAATCTCCCGCAGAGAACAGCAGACGTGACTGATAGCTTTGTAGTTTTGTTATTTCGTTTTCTTAGGTGACCACTGGACCTGTTTGCTTTACAAGCCGAAAAGAGGCATATCCGTATTTGATAGCGAACGATCTTCTTCATCCAAATTCTTTTACAACCTTCAGCAAGGCAGACTCCTACGCGTCAAACACATTCGTGTATGTCAATTGAAAGATTTAATAAGGGCGACATACATACGCCGTTCTTACAGGATATGCTTTTGACAATGAGTATCTCGTGTTGTAAATCTGCCCGTATATGCAAACAGTATACAAGTTACTTCATGACAAAAGATTACATCTCACTTCACGACTGGTTGCGCATTTATGTATTTTAGAAAAATGGTTGTCAATGATATGCTATGTTCTCTTGTACAAAATACAGGTACATGCATGCAGTATTATTTACGAATCATGATGTGGCCTGTCGTCCATTTTCAGTCGACGCCCCTCAATTACGAAATCACTTGGCCCCTTAACCGCATCTTAATCAATTCCGACAAAGTTGAGTTTTGGAAGTAAAATGTATGAATAGGCTTGACGAAAACCATCGCAAATGTTTTGATTTAGAACCGTGGCTGTTGTCATGCTTGTCAGCTGCCTTAACCAATTTGTTTACATTCTTTCACGGATTAAACTATTATGGAAAGTCCTCCTTATTCACACACACCCCTGTTCTTAATATCTGCGATTACCTAAGTTTTTACCCATCCTCCTTTGCAGAATGGCTATTATCCAACATTATTTCGCAGGAAAAGTGAAGTCACTTTGGTGGCAACCTCACAGATAAGGTGCACGAAGTTCACCCCATAACAGGAGCTGGCTGTCGCCTGATGAAGCTGGTTGTAATTACTGGCGAAACGTCGTACTCAGATTGTCCAATGCTCTCCAACACACCGGTGTGCTTGTACTAGTAACGAATTGGCATGGTTCTGTTTACGTGACAAACCTTACTAATTGGCTGTGTCGGATGATGGCGGGTTAAACGACACATTTATATTTTTACACGATCTAACCCAAACCATACTATATAATATGGAGGAGCTCTGTATTTGCATCTTTGTGTTATAATGCCTGAGGAGGAGGGGGGAAATCTATAAATGGGCTTTTTTACGACCACATTGCATGAGTCATCAGGATGCATTTCCTCCATCTGTATGTGTGTGCTTGCTGGTTTATGCGCATGGGTATGCATTATTCATGCAGAAACATTCATTTAAGAAGTCTGCTTCTAGACAAAAAAAATATTTTTGAGCTGACATCAGAAAAACAATGTTGAACCGTGGCCAAACAGTGAGCAATGTCTAATCCTGGAATGGTAAAGATACAATGGATCGCAGTGGCATCAGCAGCGATTTACCACTACACTAGAAACCGGGGGAGACTTGAGTTTCATTCTGACCATGGCCAACATCAGTGTTGAGAGTGGTACCTGGACCAGTCGTGGGCACTCCCTTTACCAGTGTAGTCAGGTATGGTCACGGCATAGGGTGACTTAATCCAGAACGCAGTGAAATGACAAAGGTGGCTGTAATTCTAGATTTGAAGCTTTCGTGACTGCAAGGATTCATATTCTTAGGTTTTTTTCGGTAAAGTCACGTAGGTAAAAAAATAAAATTAATAAAAGTAAAATAAAATAAAAAATCACGACGTTTCGGAGGCAACACAAGCTTCCGTATCAAGTGATACAGCTGTCGTGGCTGTGACGGTTCCACCTGAAGACGGAAGCTTGTGTTGCCTCCGAAACGTGATTTTATTTTACTTTTATTAATTTAAATTTTTTTTAACTACGTGACTTTACCGGAAAAAACCTAAGAATATAAAGGGCTGTACTGTAATTTACACATATATTAATTTACTCAAACGGCTATTAAAAATTATTTAAATTACTCTTAACAAGCTAATACTGTACCGTGACATCATGCCCTGGCCTCTATATTCGTACATTGTTACTAACAGCGAAGTAAAGGCATAACACATGAGTGAAGTGCCCCACACGACTGGAATAGCAACATTCGTGTGTGTGTTCTGGGAAGAGGCCACAAGCCACGTGCTGCAGTGCTCACGGGCAAACCACCCTGACACAAGACACAACATCATTGCACGATGCACAACCACCTCTTGAATATGCGCATCGCTTTGCTACATTATTTAAGGTGCACTACTGATAACCATGACATGTAAGCCTGGTATACACCCCATATATGTCAAAATAAATATCAGAAGAGAATATTGTTAGTAATCTTGGATCTATCGGTAAAGTCACGTAGAAGGGAAATAATAAAATAATTACATATTTAACAATATAATTCTCACGACGTTCGACTGCACCACAAGCAATCATCATCAGGTGTGAAATCCACAGCAAGAAAATAAAAAAGTGCTGTGGATTTCACGCCTGATGATGATTGCTTATGTTGCAGTCGAAACGTCGTGAGAATGTTATTGTTTTATATTTTAATTATTTATTATTTACCTTCTACGGGACTTTACCGAAATAACCAAGAATATGAATCCCTGCAGTCACGAAAGCTTTAAATCAAAAATAGAATATTGTTGCCATTTGTTAGTGGTCATGAAGATGGAATTTTTACTTTAATTGAATAGTGTTAATGATCAATATTATCTGTTGACTGGAATGGCAACTTTCGATGAATCACTTAGCAAATGACAAGTTCAGCAATGAAAAAGTTCAACGAATTACATATTTCGTGAAGACCGCCATTGTCACTTTCATAATTACAAATGTCCTATATGTGTCAATTCTGTAGAACTACTTATAAAACACGTTAAGTAGGCTGGAGCTTGACTTCGAATGTTTACAACTAAAAGTCTAAACTTTGGGTCCGAATTTCATTATTTTGAAAGAGGTGACAATGGCCTGGCACGTTCGCCACTGCTGAAAAGTTTCACGGTTCAAATCCAGCGGACTGCCCTGGTGAATACACTGGGTGTTATTGACCGTAACAAAAATACGCTCCGTCTCCTTCACAAGTGAACGTTAAGAGGTATGTGATGGCAGTCGCAAGAGTAGCCCCATTCTAGATTTGAAGTTTTCGTGACTGCAAGGATTCATACTCTTTGTTTTTCGGTAAAGTCACGTAGATAAAAAAATAAAAAATTTAATCACGACGCCCAAAACGTCGTGATTTAATTTATTTAAATGTTTTACCTACGTGACTTTACCGGAAAAAAACAAATAGTAGGCCCATTGTTTCGCCAGCTTCACGGTACAATTTTTGTTACTACATTTGAAAAGAAACAGTACTCGAAAATGTACTCAAGTGTAAAACTGCATCTCAATCATCGCCCTCCTACTGCGACGAAACTTGGCAAGCCCCTTCCTGAAAAAGGCACGAGACTGGAAAACTTCTCTGGGCAAACAACAAACACAATAATGTCTCAGGCAGACGGTGCATGCGAGCAAGATGAGATGCATCACTATTGTCGGACACCATCTCCACAGCAATTGCACGTTAGGAATACTTCAAAACTGCCAGCTCTTTGGGGGAGAGATGCTGCTCAACGTGTATCCATAGCGGTGATAATTGGATCACAAAGGAAGCGGAATAGCTTCTCAAAAATACAATTTAAGAAAAAAACATTGCAACGTTGGTTGGCATGATGAATTAAAAATGTTCAGTGGAAAGGACGAAACTTCAATGTTGCTTCAGTCTTCCCCGACATCTGCATGTATACAAAACATGACATCAACACCGCATGCTTAACACGTTTAGCCTTTCGCGACCAATATCATCCATAATATAATACAGGCTTTTTGGGGGGGGATTAGATCACGTAAATACACGGCTTAAACACTCACAAGTTAAACACACTGGCCTGCATTCGACGGTGCCAGGGGCAGGCAAGGTTTTACCATCGGAGTGCCAAACGCCCGTGTCACCATTCACGTTGGACTCAGCACCACCCCACACCACCCCATCCCATCCACGTTGTAGCTACAATGTCCCACTTCATTCTGGGCTCAATTTACCTCCAAGATGTGCACGTAGCTCGCAGGGAACCAGCCACGGATGCCGTCCTTCTCGCCTTCCCACCAGCCATCCTCCGTGGTGTGGAACACGCGGAGTGTGTCCCCTGCTCCGAAACTCAATCCTTGCTGATTCATATCGCCCGTGTACTGGTACATTGCCACGCACATTGTACCAGCCATGGCTCTTTTGTGGCGTTGGTTAATGTATCCTTCTTGTTATTCTTCTCCTTCTTGTTGTTGTTTACTCGAAATCGATCGGCCAAGTAGACAATGGCATCGGTCTGCTTGTAACAAGAGCAACAACACAACCTTGAGAGTGGCGCAGGAGTTGAGTGCGATGCGGCTGCTGCTGATGCCGCTCGCTGCAGACTGAGACCCCGGGGGCTCTCCAGCGGCCAGGAGGCGCGGCTACGCAAGTGTCCGTCTCGCACACGTGTGTGTGGTGTGTGTGTGGTGTGTGTGTGTAGTGTGTGTGTGTAGTGTGTGTGTGTAGTGTGTGTGTGTAGTGTGTGTGTGGTGTGTGTGTGTAGTGTGTGTGGTGTGTGTGTGTGGTGTGTGTGTGGTGTGTGTAGTGTGTGTGGTGTAGTGTGTGTGTAGTGGTGGTGTGGTGTGTGGTGGTGTGTGTGTGTTGTGTGTGGTGTGTGTGTAGTGTGTGTGTGGTGTGTGTGTGGTGTGTGTGTAGTGTGTGTGTGGTGTGTGTGTAGTGTGTGTAGTGTGTTTGTAGTGTGTGTGTGTAGTGTGTGTGTAGTGTGTGGTGTGTGTGTGTAGTGTGTGTGTAATGTGTGTGTGTAGTGTGTGTGTGTAGTGTGGTTAGTGTGTGTGTGGTGTGTGTAGTGTGTGTGTGTGGTGTGTGTAGTGTGTGTGTGTAGTGTTGGTGTGTAGTGTGTGTGTGGTGTTGTGTAGTGTGTGTGTGTGGTGTGTGTGTGGTGTGTATGTGTAGTATGTGTGGTGTGTGTGGTGTGTGTGTAGTGTGTGTAGTTGTGTGTGTGTGTAGTGTGTGTAGTGTGTGTGTAGTGTGTGTTGGTGTGTGTGTAGTGTGTGTGTGTGGTGTGTGTAGTGTGTGTGGTGGTGTGTGGTGTGTGTAGTGTGTGTGTGTGTAGTGTGTGTGTAGGTGTGTGTGGTGTGTGTAGGTGTGGGTGTGTAGTGTGTGTAGTGTGTGTGGTGTGTGGTGTGGTTGTGTGTATGTGTGTGTGTAGTGTGGTGTGTGTGGTGGTGTGTGTGTGTGGTGTTGTGTAGTGTGTGTGTGTGTAGTGTGTGTGGTGTGTGTAGTGTGTGTGTGTGGTGTGTGTGTGTGGTGTGTGTGTAGTGGTGTGTAGTGTGTGTGTGGTGTGTGTGTAGTGTGTGTAGTGTGTGTGTGGTGTGTGTGTAGTGTGTTGTGTGGTGTGTGTAGTGTGTGTAGTGTGTGTGTGTAGTGTGTGGTGTGTGTGTAGTGTGTGTAGTGTGTGTAGTGTGGTGTGGTGTGTTGTGTGTGGTGTGTGTGTGTGTGTGTGTGGTGTGTGTGTGTGGTGTGTGTGGTGTGTGTGGTGTGTTGTAGTGTGTGTGTGTAGTGTGTGTGGTGTGTGTGTGTGGTGTGTGTGTGTAGTGTGTTGTGTGTGTGTGTGGTGTGTGTGTGTGGTGTTGTGTGTTGGTGTGTGTGTGTGGGTGTGTGGTGGGTGTGTGTGTGTGGGTGTGGGGTGTGTGTGGTGGTGTGGTGTATAGTGTGTGTGTAGTGTGTGGTGTGTGTAGTGTGTGTGTAGTGTGTGTGGTGTGTGTGTCGTGTGTGTGTGTAGTGTGTGTGTGTGGTGTGTGTGTGGTGTGTGTGTATAGTGTGTGTGGTGTGTGTGTGTGGTGTGTGTGTGTAGTGTGTGTGTAGTGTGTGTGTGGTGTGTGTGTGTGGTGTGTGTATAGTGTGTAGTGTGTGTAGTGTGTGTGTGGTGTGTGTGTGTAGTGTGTGTGTGTGGTGTGTGTGTAGTGTGTGTGTGTAGTGTGCGTGTAGTGTGTGTGTAGTGTGTGTGTGTAGTGTGTGTGTGTAGTGTGTGTGTGTGGTGTGTGTAGTGTGTGTGTGTAGTGTGTGTGTGTAGTGTGTGTGTAGTGTGTGTAGTGTGTGTGTGTGTAGTGTGTGGTGTGTGTGGTGTGTGTGTGTAGTGTGTGTGGGGTGTGTGTGGTGTGTGTGTGTGGTGTGTGTGTGGTGTGTATGTGTAGTGTGTGTGTAGTGTAGTGTGTGTGTAGTGTGTGTGTGTAGTGTGTGTGTGTAGTGTGTGTGTGGTGTGTGTGTGGTGTGTGTGGTGTGTTGTGTAGTGTGTGTGTAGTGTGTGTGTGTAGTGTGTGTGTGTGAGTGTGTGTGGTGTGTGTGTGGTGTGTGTGTGTGGTGTGTGTGTGTAGTATATGTGTGGAGTGTGATCAGTGTGTGTGTGGTGTGTGTGTGTAGTGTGATCAGTGTGTGTGTGTGATCAGTGTGTGTGTGATCAGTGTGTGTGTGATGTGATGATGATCGCCGTGACTAGTTTGACGACGACTGTAGCGTGGCGACCACTATTGTGACCAGCGATGCAGTACGCGTGTGATGATCACCGTCTATAACGAGTGCACGTGGTGTTGTTGTTGTTATTGTTGTTGGTATTTGTGCGATCAAGGTGCGATGCGCGGTGTTTCACTCCACCTCGCCGCCTGTGGAGCAGCAGTGTGCGTGATCCCTCGTGTCGTGCAATGAGACCCTGCGTGTGAGAAGTGGTGAAGCACCACCACCACCAACCACAACCAACCACCACCAACCACAACCACCCCCAACCACCACCAACAACCACAACCAACCACCACAACCAACAACCAACCACCAACCAAACCACCACCACCACCACCAACCACCACCACCAACCACAACCAACCACCACCAACCACAACCAACCACAACCAACCACCACCACCAACCACCACCACCAACCACAACCAACCACCACAACCAACCACCACCACCAACCACAACCACCACCACCAACCACAACCACCAACCACAACCAACCACCACCACCAACCACCACCACCAACCACAACCAACCACCACAACCAACCACTACCACCAACCACAACCACCACCACCAACCACAACCACCACCACCAACCACAACCAAACCACAACTACCACCACCAACCACAACCAACCACCACCACCAACCTCAACCACCACCAACATTTTTTAATCGTCTTGCATGTTCGATTCTGTTTTAAATTAACCCCTACTTTTAGAAATGTATGAAGTTTCAGAAAACTAAATGGCGGGTCACAAGACATCTGGACCACGCTGTAGAATGGATTTGACAGTGTCCCTTTTGTCAGTGGTTGGATTTAGAGAGGGGGGGGGTGCTACGTACCCCACGCCTTGCGTTTCACCCTGAGGGTGGATATATTTGACCATACTTCACCGCACGTGATTAGTGCGGGCTGGTGGTTGGGTGTGTATGTGTGTGGGGGAGAGATGGAAAGGATGGTCCAGATGTCTTGTGACCCCCAAATTGATTGACCCTTCACATATTTCCTACTTTGCATGTTCGTTTCTGTTTTAAATAAACGCTACTTTTTAAAATATAAATGAAGTTTTTTTTATTATAAAATGTGGGTCACAAGACATCTGGTCCACCCTGTCGTATGGACTTTACTGCACTGCCATCTCGTGGCTACAATGCCTATTACAGGACTTGACTTTTGAGTTTGTCCACTTCAGAATCTTTACGTTTTCCCTTGGTGGCCGTCGATAAATATTCGTTTGTTGAGAATGTGAATATGAGTGGTATGTTTCGCATGGAAATAAAGTTACAATATGAACTTAAACAAAGTGTGTTTTGGTTGTTGTAATCTTGAGACTGATTGCATGCTGAAACTAACATGGCACGCATTCTACAAGTTGGAAACCATCAGTCAGTCGCCTTTCATTGACTGCAGCAAGGCGATCCACAGAGCTCAACAAAACTCGTGGTTCATCACAAATGCTGATGAGACCACAGAAAGTCGAGACCGGTCCCCAGCTTTCTTTACTTAACAATGCTGCTGGATATGGGTGGTGGAAAAGCCGAGAGAGGCCCGTGACTAAAGATGTGTATGGAAGAGGTCTGTTTCTGACAAGTTGTTACCAGTGAGAAATGCACCTGCAATAACCCGTGGACTTAAGTAGATGCAGAACCAAGTGAGCGGTCGACAGTTTGTGATCAGACACAATTCCGACCCCCTTGTTACAGTGCCGGATTAAGTTGGTGTGGGGCCTGTAGCATACAGTATGTTATTAAGGTGCCATAATTTTTTTTAAAATACGTAAAATGTTAAAACACAAAAATTTTACTTGCATAGTAAAGTAATTGTATTTTTTTATTTGCTATAAGCTAGATAACGACAAATTGTTAACCTTAAACACCCAGTTAATAAAAGTTTAAGGCAGTATAGTACTAGAGTAATAGAGCAAGTGCAGAATCACTAAACCGGAATTGATAGCTTGAAAGCTTTTATCGCAGGACCCTTGAACGTGCGGGGCCCGTAGCTACATGTGTAGCTACTGTTGATCTGAGGATAATCCGTCACTGCCTTGTTATGAGCTTGACACACGACTGTTTATGGTGATTACACACGTGAGTTGTGTATACGTTGAAAATAAAACTCCAGAGAAAGGTTGACTTTGAAACCATTTTATTGATAGTTCCTACATCAAGTCATTTGCAGTAACTTAATTACTGTGCTGTACTTGAGTTGCATTGCTTGTGTGCAAAGGGTTTCAGAATTATTCTGATTCTCCAGCCTGTAACAACAACAAGAAAAGCAAATTAGCACATTGCAAAAATGTCTAAACGATGCAGTATCAGCAGCTCTTAACGTGACTTTCAAAGTTAAGTGCTGTTTTTGATATTTACAAAGAGCAATGCTTAACAAATACCAGACTTTAATCGCAGTTCATGAGTAACTCTCATAGATCATGTGCCTATCCCATCAATCGTGAACGGCAGACACAAACTTGTGCTAGAACACACAAAGCGAAGTAGACCTAGACATGTGTTCGGTACAATACTGTTCTGTCCAGAGTGATGGGTTTTCATGTGAAACTACCTTCAGACCTGAGAATGTGATTTAAAAGCTTGTGGATACCCACATTAAACCCCAGGCAGCACGTAGTGCTGAGCTAAGCGACCTGACAAGCATTGAGTCCCACAGTCCAAGCAGCCACTCGTGTTCACCGGAGTTTCTCACTGGAATAGTGGAATGACAAAGCGTACCTTGACAACACCGCTATCCCGGGAGCGGGCCCGCAGCTTGTTGACCTGAGACTCAGCGATGTCTGCACGCTCGTCGGCTTCCTCCAGCTCGTGCTGCAGCTTGCGGTACTTAGACAGGTTGGTGTTGGCCTGTTCCTCCTGTGGGATTTTTCAAGCGGCAAATACAAATGCATTGGTAAGGTGTGCAGTATTGACGCGTGCGTTTTCAGACGGTGCTGCACGTTGTTCGGGGATGATGTCCGACGTTCTTCCTCCGAGGCACCGGGGAGAAAAACGTCGGACATCGTGCCAAACAAGGCACGGTGCAACTCGAGTACACGTCGGAGGGCTGTATAAAACAACTGCGAATACCTGCGCTGCGGTGATTACGGATGCATTTTCTTTTACAAATGTGACCCAAATATTAATTTACCATTACAGTATTATTTGCTTTTATAGCTAAGGTTTCCGAATCTTTTTTTACATAGTACCGGATGTTTTGCTTTGGCCTATGCATTATTTTTGAAGTTCATCGGGATTCTTATTGACTTTCAAACACAGTACTTTTAAAACCAATTTTCATATAAACTATGAAATATATGTAACTAAGTGCATTGTGCATATAAACGAAAGTAAAACTAAACTAAATAATGGGTGTTCCCATTGGTCTTGGATACGGTAAGAGTCTTTGATTCGTGATGTTACTCTGCATTACAATGGGATGCGCAAACAAGGGAGAACGATGGTAAATCGGTAGATTAATTATCCACCATCTTCTATGGAAATGATGCAGGTAAGATCTTACCGATTCCTCCGACTGCCTCTTGTAAGCCTTCACTTTGAGCTGCAGCTTGTCGACCAGATCCTGGAGTCGCAGGTTGTTCTTCCTGTCCTCCTCGGTCTGTGAGATCAAGTGTCATAGGTCAGAAATCTGCATTGCCTTCAGTGCAGGTGACACACTCATCTCATCACAATGAAATGCACCAATAAAGTAAATGTTTTAAAAT